CCTAAGGAAAGCAGGCCGACGCCGAAACCTTAAAACCTAAACGGTGTAAACCGACCCCGAAACCCTAAAAGAAATGAAAAGACAGCTTGCAAGAAAGCCGAAACCTTAAAAGGAGCAAACCCAGGCCGAAGCCCAAAAAGGTGTAAACCCAGAGCGAAGCCGTAAACAGAGTAGGCCCAGAACGATACCCTAATAAGGAAAAGTGCCCAAGCCGAAACCCTAAAACCTAAACGGGGTAAACCGACCCCGAAACCCTGAAAGGAGTGAAAGGTAAGCTTGCAAGAAAGCCGAAAGCTTAAAAGCAGTAAACCCAGGCCGATGCCATAAAAGGAGTAAAGCCAGAGCGAAGCCCTAAACGGAGCAAACCCCGAAAGATACCCTTATAAGGAAAAAGGCCCAAGCCGCAACCCTGAAACCTAAACGGTGTAAACCGACCCCGAAACCCTAAGTCTAGAATTTCCAGTTTCGGCTGAGGTTTCGGTGTTTCGGATTTCCGGTTTGAGGTAGATGTTCTCTGGATGCTGCTCTGGCTTGGGGGCGTTGTCGTTCTGGAATTTCTGGAGTGTTGTGGCGACTTGCGGCTCCAAAAAATATAGGCGTTTATCGTTCTTGGCACTGCAGGGGTGGAGAGTTCTCCGGGCCTAGTCGGGTTTCTCCGAGTTTGTTTTTTCACCTTTCGGGGTGTTTTTATTGTGGGGGGTGGTAAGAGTGACAAGCGGGTTCAGGGCATGATGTTGTCTCTCCTGGGCTAATGTGAATCCCTGCCTGTGTTGTGATCGGTGAGGAATGTTCGGGTTCTGCAAAATCATGGCCCCTCTCTTCGTACTTAGTGCACACTGTTGCTGTTATGGTATATTATGTTTGTTGCTTCCACCTAGACCGGACCCGAATCTGGGAACCAACAAGCATCTAGAGCCTCATGTCGTGCACTCCGGTGGCCAGGGATGTAGCTCGACGCTGGCTTGCAGGCGGGCGGCGGAAGCGGCGGGGTTTTAGAGTTTTCATTGAAGATTGAAGTTCTGAGCGTGGCACTGCTACTTGGCATGGGCTTACCTGGCCTCTTGACCAATTCAGAAATTCGGCTCAAGTGTGGCCAGGAGACGCTCCAAGCTTAAGACAAAGAGCCGAAGAGATGGAGGGCCTTAACAAAGGCGACACCGCTTGGATGGCTACGTCCTGTGCGCTGGTCCTCTTTATGACACCAGGACTCCTGCAATGCAGACCTGCACAGTGACGATTCCCCCCTGAATACCGCTGAAACCCCTGCTTCTCCTGGCTTGCTGGCTGCACTGCCCGCCCACTGGATACCTCGAGTATGTACAGCATGTAGGCCGCACATGTCGCAAAGACGGAGCCTGCTGTACGGCCTGCGGGTATAGGTTGTGTCGCAGATGCAGAGAACTTGCATGCACTGCTAAGACGGGCTTCATATAACTTTTCAGGTATGGCCTTCTCCTCACCCGTGTGAGCAGTTGCACGTCGGTCGCTACCTGCAAACTTGCCTGGAAGACACCTGGGAGCAGATCCCTGCTCCTCCTAGTCGCATTGTCCCTTAAGTTTGCGGGTTTGTTTGAGTTCTTTGTTCGGCCCCCTTTGTCGCTTATGCGTCCGCCATGGCGTGATCTTGCGTTAGTCATCATCATGTGCAGCTGTTGCTGCCCAGAGCCTGCGCGCTTGTTGCGCTTGTCTTGCTATGGCTGCTTTTCTTTCGTTCTTTCGGTTTAGTTTGGTGGTTGTTTTCCCTGCATGCCCCCTTCCACTTCGTGTTTAGGTCGTAGCCCTTTCGCCCATGCTTTCTGCCATGCACCGCCGTCCTTCGGGTTTAGGAGGGTTTTCTCCTTGCTGCTTCCTTGCCCCTCCCCTTGGGTTTAGGTTGTAGCCCCTCTTCCCACGCACTGCCTCTAACCACCTACAGGCCTAGGTTGTGTCGCAGATACAGAATATATATATATATATATATATATATATATATTTATTTATTTACTTATTTATTTCTTGCAGGATTAGCCTTCTTCTATGGAGGCTTGGTGCGAGACACCAACATTGTGAACACGATGATGATGTCAATAATTTCCATGGGGCTCACGACCATCACTTGGTTGGTGTTCGGCTTCAGCTGGTCCTTCGACGAGTGGGGTGCGGGCAAGGGCTTCACATATGTGGGCTTCCGCAACCTGGACAAGGTGTGGCCCGGCACCACCATGCCCGGCCTGACGTTTGCTGTCTTTCAGATGACGCGGCTCGGATTGTCCCATCGCGACTTTGTAGGCACTTGTCCAATTCTCGATGTGAGGCACGTGTGTGTCGTGTGTTCTGAATGGTTTTGTAGTTTGGGTGGATTGGTAGTTTTAGGTTTGCCATCATTGCAGCGGCCATCATTTCTGGAGCGGTGGTCGAGCGTATCCGGTTTTCGGCCTACGCCATCTTCATCGTTGCCTGGGTCCTGGCCGTTTACGTGCCGCTGTGCCACTGGATCTGGGGTGGCGGATGGATCGCTGACATGGGCACCAAGGACTTGAGCTGTTCCTGAAGCAGAGGGCGTCATGGAGGGAGTCTGAGTGCCCTAAACCCTAAACCCTAAACCCTATAAACCCTAAACCCTAAGCCTAAACCCTAAACCCAACCCCTAAACCCTAAACCCTAGTTTGCAGCTAGCTTCGTGCCAGGACTTTGCCGGTGGCACGGTGGTCCACATCAGCTCCGGCACCTCAGCCTTTGCGCTGGCATCGCTGCTGGGTGCGCGCAAGCAGCGGGAGGAGGGACTTTCCGAAAATTTGGGTATATTTTGGGGTCCTTATAATAAGGATCCTATGATTTAGGGTACCTTATTTTGGGGTCCTTATAATAAGGACCCTATGATTTAGGGTACCTTATTTTGGGGTCCCCTATGTTCGGAAACCCCCAGGAGAGCTTCCCGGCGAACCTGCCCTTCGTGATCCTGGGCGGCGGAATCCTCTGGCTCGGGTGGACCGGCTTCAACGGTGGCCTAGTTGGCCTTTAATCTTTTTGGGTTCCTATAATTTAGTAGTAGTCTGAAAGTTTAACCTTTAATCTTTTTGGGTTCCTATAATTTAGTAGTAGTCTGAAAGTTTAGGCTTTATTTTCCCCTGGCTTCTTCTTGGGGATGTAAGGCCTAGTTGTAGAGTAGGGAACCTTTAACCTTTTTCGGGTTTAGGGTTTAGGGTTTAGGGTTTAGGGTATCCCTATGTAGCCCCTATATAAACCCAAAAGCTTAACCTGAAGTTCCCCATGATACCCGACAAGTCAGGCGGCTCTGCCTTCGCGGCCAACGGCGACTGTGGCCTGGCTATCGCCACCACCTACGTCGCAGCAGCGGCAGCGATGGTGATGTGGATCACCGTGGAGCGCCTTCTGGACGGGGCCCCCACCTCGATCGGCGCCATGTCCGGTGCGGTAGCGGGATTGGCAGCTTAGCCGGACTGAGCTTGGAGGATCATGGGACTTAGTAAGTAAGGTTATAAGTCCCCCAATTGGGGTTATAAGTATAGTTAGTTATAACCCTACTTACTAAGTCCCATGATCCTTTAATAGCAGTTTTCAACTCTGATCCATCATGTCGGGCTCCCCGGCCCGCAGGAAACAGATACCCCAAGAGCAAGCGAATAGCGAACTTAGGCACACGCTCAGGTTTTCGAACTCGTTGTATAAAAGCTCATTATAAAGGACCTTGTCCCAACATGCTCCAATGTAGCCCGAGCTCTGCGACCTTGAGGTGAACATTACTCCCTGCGCCGGCTTCGTGGAGCCTTTGGGTGCTTTGGGCGTCGGCGCCCTCGGAGCCCTCTGCTGTGTCTTTGCAGCTCGTGGGCTGAAGAAGCTGAACCTTAGTGGCTGAGAAGGTAACCTTTAGCCTTTTAGGGTTTATATAATCGTACCATAATTGAAAAGGTAACCTTAACCTTTTGGGGTTTATATAATCGTACCATAATTGCAAGGTTGACCTTTTTTGGGTTAGGGTGCTCAGCCCCTAAGGAACCTGGTGGACGACTCTCTGGATTGTTTCTTCGTTCCCCAATACCCAACCTTTAATCTTTATTTGGGTTCTTATAAATTAGTAGTAATCTGAAAGTGTAACCTTTAATCTTTTTGGGTTCTTATAATTTAGTAGTAATCTGAAAGTTTAACCTTTAATCTTTTTGGGTTCCTATAATTTAGTGGTAATCTGAAAGTTTAGCCTTTATTTGCCCTTGGCTTCTTCTTGGGGATGTAAGGTTTCTCGCTTCATGGCGTGGGAGGTTTCGCTGGGGCGATCCTGGGCGGCTTCTTTGACCTCGAGGACGGGCTGATCTACGGCGGCGACTCAACCGAATTAAAGTTTAAGGGTTTAGGGTTTAGGGTTTCTCCTGAACCATAAACCCATGATCCTTAATCCCCAAACCCCTAAACCCTAAACCCATAATCCTTAAACCCCAAACCCCTAAACCCTAAACCCATAATCCTTAAACCCCAAACCCTAAACCCTAAACCCATAATCCTTAAACCCAAGGCGACGGGCTGCTGCTTTTAAAGAACCTGGCTGGCGCTGCCTTCGGCGTGGTCTACTCTGCCGCTGTCACGGCTCTGATCTTCGGCTTGATGCGCGTGGTCATGCGCATGAGGGTCTCGGAAGAGCAAGAGCTTGAAGGCAGGTGCTTGTGGTGCGATCTGACATGATCTGACAATCTGGTGCTTGTTGTGCGACAGTCACGTGTGTTCCTTGAGGCCATGTTGATCCATGCTGAGTCAGTGAAACCTTCGTGCATCGTGTCGGCAGTGTCGGCTGCAGGCGTCGACATCAACTGCCACTCCGAGGCCAGCTGCAGAGAAAGCAGATATCGGTAACAACGTAGAGTCCGAGTCTGCGTCTGCATATAGGAGTTTCCGAAAATACGGGGTACCTTATTTTGGGGTCCTTACCTAGGGGTTCTTTTGTAATGTTTTTTTGTGTAACGAAAAATTTCGATTACAAGTTATGGGTTTCAGGCCGTTTTGGGATTTCCGGCCGGATGGAACAAAAAGAGGCCGATGCTAATCTATATTGTACTTATGGGCCCCGAAGGTACACATATGGGACCGAGGTCCCTCACCTATGCGCATATGCGGTCATTCGATATCGGGAAGGCTCTACGTTTTTATTTCTAGCTTATAAAGCCATACCCTCCCCCCAAGACATACAACCGCGCACACAAGTGGGCACTATTTTCTGGAGACGTCGGACGAGCTCGGCGTCGGTTGCCGTGCCAGACACTCAGCATCATCGCAAATCAAACTGCTGCCGCCACTGCCGTTTGTAATGCATCAAAGCCTTCTGAACCGTTCTGATAACTTTGGTAGCAGCTGCGCACCTTCGACTAATGCGAGATATCTTGCCGATGAAGTCTTCATCGGCCCAAGTTGCCCAGCCTTACTTGATCGTACGTCTTTGCATCAACAAGCCATACGTTGTTATAATCCCGCAGACGAGCAACATTGGACATTCAAAATGAACTCGGCGCCAGTGTCCATTTGTCGTTGCAGCTCCCAACTTAGCTTGGATAGTTTAAAGTACGATCCTAGCCGAACAGACCAGCCACTTGAACGATAAGGCCAGAGGTGCAAACAAGCTTCACTAGTTCTGCTTGCATGTGCAGTTTTGGCCGCATTTTGTACAGGGCCCACTTTCGGTCCGCGCATTTCCTGGCAAGTCGTTGGTATCCATCCTTAATGGTGTCAACCGGACAGACCATTAGAAGCAAGAAATCGTATAGTTCGAGACCTATGACCTAGAATAGCTGGCTTGCTTCGAAAGACAACTGCTTAAGTTTGAAATTATCACACCGGCACCAACAAGGCCGAAAGACCAACATTTTCCATCCGGAATCTATGCAACTGGAGGCCTGGCTTCTGCTTTGAAAGACCCCTGCAGCGTACGAAGCCCGAAAGTGACGCCCGCAAGCTTGAAGGGTCCAGCTTAGCAGTCGGAAGAGCTCCACATCGCTGGGATCCTGGGTTGGGTTGCTCAACACTTATATAATTTGTGGGACCTAGTATATCTCTATGTAGGCTGATGGGATCTATGTAGGATTTAAGAGGTCAATATTTTCATCGAAAGCACAAGTGTGGATTCATCAACCGACAATACCAGGTCTTCCAGCCATGCATTCATCAGGCCGCAGTCGTGGCCTTTGCCACAGCCAGCAGGATATTGTTTCAGCCTTTGCACAATTCCACTTCATCTGCCCTCAAGCCTTCAGCTACATAGCCTAGGGGCCTATGAGTTGCACTTGATCAAGTCTGGAATTTTAAGGCTGGTGTATTCTATAGCTTGAGAACACATATTGAATAATTACATATCGATCTAGCTATATCACCCTTACACTCCTTACACTACATCATATTGAGCTCCAAAATGCGACTTAACCCGGAGGGTCTGCAGATTGAAATGAGTGATCGATGTAGACTTTCCTCGACGGCAGCAGTACTCTTTGAACAACGCATAGCCATTTTCCAGGGCTTCGGGCAATGAGTGGCCTTGCAGAATCCCCAATCGAACTAGAAGAATAAGGGAACTGCCACACAGATCTTTGCCCCATCCTTGGATGGCGTAGGTATGGGCTGGGTCCACCCGGATCGTGGTAGGATCATCTTGAATCATGTCCAGTCGTCGCAAAGCTGCAGGTTGCCCGCTTTTGAATGGGTTGGCACTGGCCTCTTCGTGTCCACTAGCCAAAGCATCTCGGGAAACATCGTACCATGCCTGTAGTCCATAGTATAATTATACAGTTAGGGACCGGAACAAGACAAATTTTGGTCACTCCTGGTTCATGCGTTTACATAGATACACGCTCAATAGCTTTATGATTTAAGGGGTTGGGTAAATGACTAATATTTATTGGGGTAGTAACTGCAGCAAAGCTTCATTGGTATTGCAGAGGTGGCAAACCCTGTGAGAAGTAAACCCCGTCTTGAGTTTCGCCCCTTTCCGCAAAAACGGCCAATCTCCTTTGACCCCCAGCAATACCAGTCGAAAATCCATCCGCTTGCGATTGTGCTGTACCTTACGATGCAGTCGCTATTCCTATATGAGCTAGCGGTCTAGCTTTAAAAAAGCATACACATCAACTTCAGCTTTCGACTGCAAAGTGACACTCACCCCGCTCTCATACATCCGGTGCAGGTCATCCACGAGTGCGGAAAGCAGGACATCCAGAGTCAGGTCACCCCGATATAGTTCCGACGGGACCACGGTGAACAGGAGTCTTGTCGTCATGGAGTTCCTAGTACAGTTCGCGGGGTCTCATGTTTTGGATTTTGGGATAAGCTAGCTGTTAACTCAGACGGCTTGGCTCTAGGATAAGCGGCCCACTTGTGTTAATGTGCTGGATGCCCTGCCACCCCACCAGCGGTTGTATGGACAAGCACATTATGGGACGCTTGTTGTTGCCACGACCCTCGTCCCCATGAAGCAGTATCGGAATGGAATGTCGTGCAACTTGAGGATAGTCTGGTCGCTGGAAGAAGTGGCAATCTGGCCTGAGGGCTTGGTATTTCTTCCAAAAGCCAGCAAGCATCTCCTCAAAAAGATGCCCGGAATCAAGACAATGTCCTCCGAGGAAAGCTTCCCCTCCAATAGAAAGTGAATATTCTAGCCAGGATGAGGGTAACAAACATGCAAACTCCATGTCGACTTTCCTGACACGACCTTTCTCGATCTTGCGGACTGGTGCCATTATAGAATCCACTTTCACCGGAAGACATCGTTGTTCTTTGTGAATAACCACATGCAAATTCCGAGAGGCATTGCCAAGCCCCCTTCCCCCAGTCCCACATGCAGCCAATCGATTCAGAGTTTTGTCTGGTACTCCTTATAGGAGATCCGACTAGCTTAGCTATGTAGGGTTTAGGGTTTCGGGTTTTCTCTCGATATATAAATATATTACAATATATGTATAGGTATAAGCTCTGAAATCATATTATTAATTGAGCCTGGGGACCAAGCTTCCGTAGCTTTCTCGAAGCAACTTGAGCAAGACGAACCACACGTCGAGCACTCTCTGCCTGAAGTAACATTACGATATAGGCTTATACGAACTAGCAATATTGGGGAACTTCCACTGCGAACGAACACGGCTGCGCTTATCAATAATATTGCAGTACAAACCACCCCTGCTTCGAAGCCCGTGAGCAGCTCATCAGCCAGGTCATCGTCGGTGGCTTCTGCCTCACTGTCATCTTCAGAACCTCCGAGGACACAACACACGATAACTTCTAGTAGGTGGGGCTTATCTTGGACAATCCGGGACTTTAGGTCGATGGGATCGAGGTATTGGTTTTTTACATCTCGGGTTTTAGTGTAGGGGGCCAGGGCAAAACAGGCTGTATACATGCTAGGGGGGATTCAATAGGTTGAGGCTGGAGGCTTTGGGCTATAGAATTTAGGATACCTCGTTCGGGCTAGGGATGGCAGGACAAATGTTTGGAACTCGCAGACCAAGGGCTAGGGAATGTAGGACACATTAAGCTTGGCCGGCACATGGGATTGAGCCTAGGGGCTTGGGTGTAGTGCGATTTAAAGCTGGGGACTTTGGGCTTTGCACTTGGGTGAAGAAGATTTAGCTTGGGCTTAGGAGCTAAGGATCATCGAAGTCAGGGGGTTTTTAGGTTTTGCAATAGCTACAGGATGTGGCAAGTGTCATGAGTAACACGGTTCGAGGTTGTAAAGTTTGGGCTTTGGGGTTTATAATAGATCTAGATACGTGGCTAGGCGACGGTTGGAGGGTGGAGGTTTCTGGCTTTGGAATACATGATAACCCAATATCTGTAGTCCGGCCCCCGGAACAACTGCTTTGCAAATTGAGCCTTAATTGGTGTCCCGTCATTGAAACCAGTTGGGTCTCGTTACGATCATCATAATCTTCGGCCTGGCCTGACTCGTGTCCAGCGCGTGCTAGCCAACCTGCGTGGGGAAATCGGGTCGTTTTAGGGTTTAGGGTTTAGGGTTTAGGGTTTAGGGTTTAGGGTTTAGGGTTTAGGGTTTCGGGTTTAGGGTTTAGGGTTTAGGGTTTAGGGTTTAGGGCACAATGTAGTGAATGGGTTCAGACATCATAGGCGTGATTTTGCAGTGGTCACCCAGCTTTGATCCCCAGCAGCAGCGACCTAGCAGGCACAGCACACGTGTTGGTGCTGTGCCACGATCAGTTTTGAAGAATGCAACAACAGCTTCCACAGGGCATCATCCAAAGCTAAGTGCAGTGCAGAGCTAGGCACTTGTTGAAGCTATACATACTGATCTTAATGCCCTGTAGCTGCCGCAAGAAACTTCACAAGGCGTACTTCTCCAAGCACACTAGTCTCCTTTGGCTTTCTTGCTCTTCGAGCCATTCTTCGACTCGTTCTTGCGTTTGCCCTTGCCAGGCTTTGATGACTCAGCCTTGTTTTTCTTGTCTTTAGCCTGCTTGTCCTTCTTGTCCTTTTTGACCTTGCCCTTGTCCTTGGCGGAGTCGCCAGAGGAAGGCTTCACAGACCTCGTAGATAGTCAATAGCTCATGATATGTGAAAATATTACACACACACACACACGTGCAAGTGTAAAAGTCACGGTTTAGCTGTGTAGCCTTGCACGAACCACGTAGTTGTTGAGAATGAGGTCCTGCTTCGTGGTTTCTGCGAAGAGCTTCAGCAAGACGTCGTTGAATGACCTGGAATCACTAATGGAACCACTGCACCCAGCTAGCCTATGTCGCATGCCAACACATCAAGATCCAAGTCTTTGGCTTGTCGATCGTCGAAGTCAAAGATTCAGATTGCTTGGAAGTGAGCTTAGTAAACAATCCGGTCATGGAGTCCAGGCATGCCTGGATCTGGCCTCGCAACCTCGGATCCAGTTATGTAGGTCATTGCAAGTTATTGAACACATGCATTTATGAACCGATATGCAGCTGAGTCACATGTCTGCCCGAGCCCCGGTGACTTTCCCGAGTCGCTCCTAGGCAATATGCATGAATAGAATTAAGTGCTCTCAGCTAACCACATAAAACACCAGTTCAATCCGAGATTCGAGAACATCAGTGCAGCTATCGATTTTCCGCCCCAGCACCTCCAAGAAACCCGGGAGAATGGTGAGGGGGCTCGCTGTCTGCTGCAACGATGGGAATGTCAGCCTTGGTGTGTGCGAGGCCCATAATACATGTTATATAGATGTGGTTTGGGTGTGCAGCTTGTAACAACATGCACAGCGAGTTGTAGGCCCGGCATTGTAAGCCCCGACACTTGAACGATGCAGAGGATGAAAATGATTCCATCTGCTCTGCTTGCGCCACGGAGGAAGCTGCGGCTGCGGAGCCAACTCCGCTCGTGATGACCGAGGCATTGGCATCAACATGTGGCACATCTGTGTCCAACAAAGTACCATTCTCATCCTGCATGCAGATCATGTGTACTGGCTAGATCTATAGCTTGGGGTTTTGGTGGTCTTATATCTAGCGGGTTAAGTTAATGTCTCTCTTTAGTGGCTTGGGGGTAAGTGTTATATAGGGGTTTCAGGGATTAGATACACGTGGTTCAGGATTCCCAATGGGCCCCTGTAGCTGATGGATTAAGTGGTCTCCTGCACATCTATGGCCCTGTTGTACGAGGTCTCATGGGATGTAACATCATTCGCTTCGAAGGCGTCCGTCAGGACAAGCCGCGCTTCCTCTTCCCCGTGCACACAACTTCGCCGAAGGTTGTTGGTGTTAGAAGCCCAGGTCCAAGCAGCCTGGATCATCTTCCTTATTGCAAACTTAATATAAAGCTGATGGTAGCATGCACATGCATAGATGGGGCTGTGTGTATGTGTGATCTATTGCTGAGTTCTGGGCGGGGTCCAGTGCTCCACTGTGGCCAGGAAATGCTTTGTCACCCATCTGCCTCCCTTGGACTTAGCGTAGGAGGCCACGTTGCTCTTTCGGATTTGAAGTTCAAGTGCTTTGAAGTTGCCGTGAACCTTGAGGAGTTCTTTCAGCTTCTGTCCTAGGTTGTGTGCAAACACAGCAGAAACCTAAAAGTGCTAGAGCTATACATGTGTGGAATCATGCAACATCGCTGTCGGTCTTACTTGCAAACACAGGTGCGGCCCTCCGGACATTTGTACAAGGCCAAGGCAGCTTCTGAGCATTTGAGGGCACCGGAAGATCGGGGTTCAAAGTACCTTCGCAACCTCGGCTGGTGTGGTTTTCTTGGAGACATAGACTTAGAGAGTTCTGCTCCGGATATCGGAACTTATTCCTACCACTCAACTGGATTGGGGGAGCTTCGGGTTATCTGTCAAAAAGGGCGAAGTTTGAGGCCTCAGCAGTTTGTTCACCTAAATACTATTAATTAATTATATAAGCATAGGATGTCTTCGATCTATAGTACTAGGGCTTATGCTATGACGAAGTCTTTGGGCTTGCTGATATTTGTTCCATGGACCTACTATAGGTCTATATTGTACATAGTTATGAGTTTATATAGTGTGGCTTGGATTTACACACCTCAGGGCTACTTAGAGACTTAGATCCACATACATGGTTTATCCTATAGGGTGTGTTTTGGGAATTTAGGGTTTTAAGTCATTTTAAAGGATGCTGTCTATTTTGGGACATGGTGTTCTTTCAGGCCGGTTGTCGACAAGCATATATGTTTATCATCTACACAGGGCGTGGTTGCAGGACATAGGCTTTAGATCACATTAGATATGGTTATTATTATCCTATATAAGTTGACCGAATCGCTTGGAACTTTTTATATCCAACTTAATTTTGGGGCTTGGGGTTTGTTGGATCTATAAGACCTCAGACTTTCTCCATATCTTGGATCTACACACCCAATCAAAAGACTGCAGCCACACAGCCTCCAGTACGTTGGCGACTTGGCTCGCTTGGAGGAGAGGGAATCGTTGCACGAGGAAGGTGCAGGGCTGCTGGTCAGACCACTCGATGTCCGCGAAACAGGGGACTTTGGCTTGTCCGGGGACGGCTGATCCTTGTGACTGTGATCATCTGGCCTGTTCACCTTCGGCACATGCTTGGCTGACCCCTTGGCGTTTTTTCCTGGGCTATCCTCAGTGGCTGACCCCTTGGCCTTTTTTCCTGGGCTATCCTCAGCGGCTGACTCCTTGGCGTTTTTTCCTTGGCTATCCTTGTCAGTGGCTGCCCCCTTGGGATTTCCTGGCTCATCCTTTTCGGCCTTCTCGCGCCGGGGATAGGGGCACTGGGCATCCTCCAGATTACTATCATAACCCAAAGACTCACAGCTGCTCATTGGCATCAGCAGGGTCTCTTCGCAAGGAGGCATAGTCGCATTGCCAGGCACGGCCAAAACCGAATTCTGCCTCGCAAGGGCAGGAGCACCTCGGATCTTAAAACAAAACAGAAATGAGGCACTAGGATTTCGGGGCTCCAGACTTCGATATGGGGTTTGGCTGCTTGCATCTTGTATACTTTTGTAGCTATATATTTGGGATAAGCATCATGCATGTTATCTAAAGTAATATGTATATGTATATATATATATATACATACCTAATAATATTGATCGATAGTATATATGCATGGTATGTGTATATATATATATATATATATATGGTATCCCCCCCCCAGTTATCTACCTTCTCGGTGGGTTTTGGAGCCCATTAGGGAAGGGGGAGGGAG